ATAAAGGATTTCCTCCAGCATTCACTCTCAACAGCCTTCAAGAGACATACAATCTAATGAAGGACACTGCAGTATCTTCACCTGCTCCTCAAGAGGACACATGTAACGATCATGGTAAACCATTGGAGCTCTTCTGTGAAGCATGTAATGCAGTAATCTGTGTTAACTGCTTAGCTCATAATCACAAACATCACGAATACAACTTAGTCACTGACAGTTGTGAAAGTTTAAGAGAATGTCTATCACCAGTTGAGGGAAAGAAGGAAGCACTCAAGAAGGTCATGTCTGCTATAGCAGAAAGAGAGGGTGAGATCAGAGAGAGAGGAGAAGGAGTCTTAGAAGAAATACATGAAATGGTAGATGATATAATTGCTGTTCTTCGTCAGTCAGAGAGGAAATTGGCTGAGCAGGCAAAGAGGGTCACTGATGCTAAACTGAAAGTGCTGTCAAAGCAGATGAATTCAGCAGAAAAGAGTTTCAGTCTTCTGGAGGATGTTGCAAATGATGTGGAGCAGAGTCTGAAGGTAAGCATTTCTCAAAAAGTCCTGAGGTCTAAGAAACAGATGATGGAGCGTATGAGTGAAGTTACTGCAGAGATCAATGTGGAGGAGTTACATCCAAAGGAAAAAGCTGACTTTGTATTGAGTAAAGATATCAAATTGCTACATCACATTGGAGATATTGTGACCTACTCATCTACTGCACTACAGCAGTGTAGAGTAAAGAAAGTTGGTTGCTTCGAACGCCAGCCAGAAGAAAAGAGTATTTCACTTTCACTATCAATTGAGGCACCAGATTCATCTCTTTTGTCTGTTCCCCTCTCTTCTCTCAGGTGTAGTCTAGTACCAGCTGGTAGAGGTAAACCCATTCACACTACGATCACTACCAGCACTGATCCTGGAGTGTATAGGATACAGTGTAACCTTTCAACCAGTGGGTATCATACAGTAAAAGTACAAGTATATGACGTACTACTTGAAGATGCCTCACTAGTCGTCCCTATCAATCCTTATCTTAAGAATATTGCTCCTTTACATGTTGTCGATGAGCTTAAGGGTCCCTGGGGAGTTGCTGTTAGCAATAACTGTGTTCTAGTAACTGAGAATCTTGGTCAGTGTATAACAATACTGGACAGAGAAGGAAAGAAAGTGAAATCATTAGGAGGGGTAAAAGGAAGTGGTAATGTCAATTTTTCTTTTCCTCGTGGCTTAGCCATTACTCCAGACAAATTCATTCTAGTGTCTGATTCTGATAATCATAGAGTCCAGAAGATAAGCATGGATGGGTATCTTATAGCATCTGTTGGTGAGAAGGGTAACGGACCATTACAATTTAATACTCCTTTTGGTATAGCTGTTTCACCAAGAACAGGGCAAGTTTTTATTGCTGATAAGATTAATCATCGTATTCAAGTCTTGAATCCTGATCTAACCTTCTCTCATTCGTTTGGCAGTGAAGGATCAGCTAATGGACAGTTTTCATACCCTGTAGGCATTGCTATTGATGATCAAGAATTTATATATGTTACTGATTTTAAGAACCATCGCATCCAGAAGCTCTCGTCAAATGGACAGTTTTTGGACAAGTTTGGTATCAAAGGTTCTGGTCCTGGTCAGCTAAATGGGCCACATGGTATAGCGATAGACACTGGAGCTACTGGCCTAGTATATGTTGTTGA